GGGGAGTTATGAGGGTACTTGGGGGTCTCATCTCCATTTCCCCCAGGGTGTCCAGGTGTTCATCTGCATAATGGGATCAGTGGTGCATGTTGTGGGGGGCAGGGGAAGAGGGGAGCAGTTTCCAGGGCTGCCCAGTGCCTGCAGATCCCCCCACCGGAGGGGACTCCCCTGACTGTTGTGTCATCAGATGATCCTGCAGGTGCACAAGGAGGTAGTACTGTGTCATGGAGCACACGTGGGATGGTGACACTTGGCTGCCTCTTTACCTGGGGGTAGCTAGGAGGTCCCAGCCACACCCACCTCAGCTACATCCTACATCCATTCATAAGACAGATGTGGGGGAGCCTGAGGGAAAGACCCAGAAAACTGGCAGGTTTGGGAAGAAGAAGCTATAGCCACAGAGGAGAAAGGCAGGGCTTCACGAGGAGGGTTTGTGGCTGGGTGGGGACCAGGGAGGGAGTCCAGGGCTGCCAGGGGCCAGTGGGTACAGTGGTAGGGTGAAGACTCTGTCAGATGGGCCAGGCTTGGATCCACGGCTCCAGTTGGCCAAGTAGAAGGGAACAAGTCCTCCTCTGCCCCAGGTCCTGAGACCCCTGGGGAGGAAGGGGTGGTACCCATGCTGGTCCCCCTCCAACTCCCTTTCCTGCTCGGGTCCATTGTGTTCTGGGAGGAACCAGGAGAGAAGGGAAGTGAGGATGGGAACGGGTCTCAAACGTGAGATTGTGTTGTTCCTAATCACGGCTTTTATTCTGAGGGCAGGGGTCCACCTGCCTTTCACGTCCCTTGAGGAGGGGGCTGGTGACTTCCCACGCAGGCCTTTCTGCCAGCCGTGTCAGCGCGCCATGGCTTCTCCCGGACCCCGCAGCACCCCATGACTGGCGGGTCACCTACCGCATCTGACTAGGCAGGGCGCCTTCATTGGGAGAGGCTCCTGCTCCGTCTCTCCACCCTCAGCTCCGGTTCTTGTCCTGTGTTGGGCCTGTGGACATCCTTCTGGTCCCCTCTGTGGTGGCCCTGCCATCGCCAGCTTGTGCAGAGGGCTGTGCGATCCTTGAAGTCCTGTCCACTCAGCACTTGGCTCTAGACACAGCCTGAACCTGCAGCACCGGGCTCTGCTCCGGCGTTTGGCCCAGGGCGGGTGCCCTCGGGAGTCCCGGAAGCAGTGGATCTGACTCTCCTGCCCCGTGCTGTCTGTAGGTGCCTCGTGGCCTCCCCAGCCTGGTGTATGTTCTGCTCTGAGGCTGTGGCTGTGACCCACTCCTCTTACAGCCTGGGGGTCTGGAACATCACCCGCTGTTTAACTGGGATCCCTATGGCTGCGTGCCTTACCCAATGCTCCTGGGGCCCAGGCCATGGGCGTAGCCCACATCACTGGTGTGTTTACCCTGGATAGCCCAGTTGTGCTGGGTTGTGTGGGGAACACACTTGTCCCTGCCTCAGTGACCTCTTGGATGCATCTCCAGTGGTAGGGAGGCTCGAGGCAGTGTGGGTGTCAGCTTTTGCACATCGAACCTGGGAGGCCTTGGTGACCAGGGTTGGGTAAGCCAGGCGGCTGACATGGATGAGTGTGCAAGGTATGAGGTGCTGGCCCGGGAGGGGCAGGGACTTGCCAGGAAGGGGTACAGCCATGAGCCATGTGCTCACACAGTAGAAGCTCCTGGAGCTCTGGGGGCAGCAGGTGGGGTGGGCCTGTTTGAAAGGACTTAGCAAAGCGTGTTCTCTGTCCTGGAGCCAGCTGCAAGAATGCAGAGGGTACAGTGCCAGGTGGAACATCACCCCCAAGGACCTGGTCATGAGAGGGGCAGGGAACGGGGAATCACCAAGAGTAACAGCGCCAGAGCAGGGCTTGTGAGAGAAAGAACAATCCTGCAAGCAGTGTCTGGAGGTCGCTGGCAGAGGGAGTGACTGAGGGCCCTTAGCACAGCCCAGCGACCTGGCTGGTGTGTTCATGGGAAAAAAGGGGCCCAAAACCTGTCCATTCCATAATGGCAGCTCAGAAAAGAGCATCACAAGGGACAGGGCTGGTGTTCCTTCATGGGATGGTGTTCAGGTCACATGGAGGGCTCAGGTCACAGCAAGATGTGCAGGGTCACAGCGAGTTGTTTCGGTCACAGGAAGGGATTGTGGCCATGTGGAGGTGAGAACTTTAGCATGCATGGAGATGGCAGGATCACAGTAAATGTTCAGGTCACATTGAGATGTTCAAGGTGACTTGGAATTGTCAAGGTCACAATTAGATGTTCAGGTCACAGTGAATTAATTCTTAGGACAAAGGTCACCTGGAAATTTTCAAGGTGGCACAGGGCTACAATGAGATAGGTGTTCAGGGTGATTTCGTATGTTCATTGTCATCGTGGAGATTTCAGGGTCACCGTGGTGATGTTCAGGGATCTGGAAACCATTCTATTGGATGTCCCAGCACCTGCTCTGACCCTCTCCCAAGTGACTACCTTTCCTCTGTCAGGGTTGTGACATCCAGGAAGGACAGTCCCTGACCCTGCCAGGCTGTGGTGTTGGTGTTGGTGTCAGCCCCTCTGGGTCAGGTGGACGTGAGTCTGGGGGGTCCAGGCCAAGGCTGGGCCACTCTCTGGGGCCGGGGCCTGCAGATCCGTGGTCATCATCCTTATTCCTGGCTGCCACTTTGAAAACCGCTTGAATGTGTTTTTTGAGCACATCTGAGTGTTTTAGCCTCCGGTTGGATATATCCTCAAGGAAAAGAAAAGTAAACTGAGGCACAATAGAATTGCTAAAGAGTTTGTGTCCGATGCAATCTGAGAGGATTAATGTTCTGAGGACAAAGCCCTGGATGCCCTTGTTTATAGGATGATGGTTGAAGAAGCAGAATAAATGGTCTGTTTGTGGTGATGCTGATTGGTTATTCTCGCCTCACAAGTTTACTGGCTGCTTCCATGGGTTAAATGTACTTTCTTATTCTCTTTGGTATTGGCCTGTGCGGGAACAGCTCCAGTGGATGTTGGCCTGGGTTGGAAAGCAGCTCAGGTTAAGGTCACTTGTGAGGTCCCTGCATCCTCTGCTTGGGGCCAGGTAGCCACTCAGCTAGGAAGTGGGAGAAGGGGAAGAGGCCGGAGAAGAAGCCAGGGACCAGACTGAGTGCTCAAGGCCCTGCTGCTGTGATCCAGTCCCTGTGACCAGGCCCCTTTTCTTATTTCTGTCACCTCCCAGTGCTGCCAGCAGATGATCAATCCACAAGTAGATTAAGCTGCTGCTGAAGTTCATGATCCAATCACTGCCCAAAGCCTTGTCACTTGGCCTTGGGGACATTTTAGATTCAGTTCATAACAGAGACTTCAGGGCTGGCTGTCATTGTAATTTACTTTAACAGAGGTCGCTTCAGACACCTTGAGTTAGAAGGTACCCAAACACTTTTCTGCTGCCCAGCTCTGCCCCCTCTCTGTGGACTGTCCCATCTGCTGCCTGGCTCAGCACCCAGGAGTACCAGGCACTGCCAGGTCTCCTCTGCAGGCTGCTGGAGACCCCTGCTCTGCCTGTGGCTCCCCTCGGTCAGGGTGGCCCTATCCCTCCTGGGAGTTCTGTCCTTGGACCCCTGCCTGCATGCCCCAGTGTTGTGTCCCATGATGTGCAGCGTTCGGTCATGTCTGGGGCATTTGTAGTGCGTCTACCAGGGCTGGTGACATCTGGGAACTACAGATTCTCATTCCCTGGGGCAGAGGTGGAAATGCTGGGTTTAATCAGATGAAGAAATCCTCTCCTTCCAGCAGCCGATGGAGGAGGACTCACATGGTGCCTGTGTCCTGTATGGGTGGGGTGGGTGCTCCCTGCAGGGGCCCCTGTCACAGTCCTGTGTGGCTCATGAGAAGTGTCTGTCTGGCCCTGAGCCTGTGGCCTGGGACACTGGGGACAGACTAGACCAAGTGTCCTGCTGGGCCAGCAGCCAGGGCTGATACCTGGAGCTGAGCCTCATTCTGGGTTGGGCCACCGCATCTGGCCATGTGACCAGGTAGGGTGTCCTTTGTCCCGAGAATTCTGTTTTCAGTCCTGTGAGAGTTTGCCTGTAGCTGGTTCAGGAGGAGGAAGGCAGAAATGCTGCATTCCCGGGATCCTGTTCTTGTCTCTTCCACACCTCTGTGGAGCCTGAGAGAGAGCCTTGCCCTGAGCTGTGCCTCTGCCTCTTCTGTATTTTTTATTTTTTAATTTGGAGACAGGGTCTCGTTAAGTTGTCCAGGCTAAGTTGAGATCCTCTGCTCCCAGAGTGCCAGGATTATTAGACGTGCACCACCAGTCCTCATTTGGGATCCAGTTGTGACCAAAGCAGCAGTGTCCCTTCTGACTAGGCCTTTGCAGCTGGCCTCAGCAGGGAAGCCCCAGGACCCCATGGGGACAAATTTGTAGGCACTGTGTCTCCTCATGGTGTCTGCTCCTGGGTTTTGCTTTAGCCAGCTCACTTTCCCTGAGCCTCCTTAGAATGTTCCAGGGAGGCCCTGAGGACAGTAGTTCTTCCTCTGTTACTCTCTAGGAGGAGTTTAAGGAACAGAAATGGTTTCTGCCCAGTGCTGGAGGCTGGGCATCCAGGCTGAGGGAGTTGCAGGGCTGGTTTCTTCTGGGTCATCTGCTTGTAGACCATCTTCCCCGTGTCCCTGGCCTGATGTCCTGTTCTTAGAGGCCACTTGTGAGATTGGCTCGGGCCAGCCTAGTGACCTCATTTCAGTACTGTGTTAATAGCCCCATGTGTAAATACTGTTACACGCTGAGGTCCTGGGGTTAAGACATCTACATGTGAATCTAGGGGGACAAACTTCAGCTTGCAGCGCTGGCCTTGGAGTCCACTTGACTCACTGCCACATACAGGGTGGGCACGCATGTGTCTGTGCTTGTGCCCAGCCTCCTGTGGCTGCCTGTGCTGTGGGTCTGGGTGGCTGTGGCCTCTTGGGGCTGATGTGGGGCTGTGGAGGGCCCGGGCTGTATCCCTCCCATGCCTGCCCATCCAGGCCCACACACTGTATCTGCTTTGTTCCCTACAGCTCGGGGCCAACGCGCTGCTCTTCGTGGGCGTGAATATGTATGGCGTGTTTGTGCGCATTGTGACAGAGCGCTCACAGAGGAAGGCCTTCCTGCAGGCCCGTGGCTGCATCGAGGACCGCCTGCGGCTGGAGGATGAGAACGAGAAGCAGGTGAGGGCACGGGGAGCTGCCGACGGGCAGCTACGATGGCTTTCCTGAGCCTGGGCTTCCCCCTTGCTGGCAGGGGCTGCGATCTGGGTGTCAGTTGGTGTGTGGGGCCCAGAGATACCAATGGGCCTGGGCGCACTGCAGGGGCTGAGCTGCTCATCAGTCATGGGCGGTGACAGGGGTGGCATCCAGTGCTTGTCTTCCGGATGCAGCTGGACAGGCTTCCCTGGCCTCGGGAGGACCAGGTGGGTCCTGGCCACACCTTAGGAGCATGTGAATCTGTGGCTTGCCCTGCCCTGCTGGCCAGGGACCTGGCATAGGAGTCTTCAGCACCCTTGGCTCATTGTGGCCGAGCGGACCCAGGGTGTGCTGGTGTTTCTGGGGTGCCTAGGAGTTGAAGGGGGTCTCCTGGCACGTTGGCAGCCCTAGTAGTGCCTGTACATCTGAACGCCATTTCTCTTCACCTGTTGACATCGCAGTGAAAGCCAGTCTTTGTGTCCTAGTAGAAGTAAGCGGTGGTAGAAAGGTGGCTGCTGTCCATGTGCGCTGCTGAGGGTGGACGTGTGGATGGGCATGCGCGGTGTGTGCACGTGTGTGTGCACTGCACAGTGTATGTGTGAGTCTTGCACGTCTGCCTAGATCACCTTGCCTCCCTAGGTTTTGCTTCTTCTGTATTTTCTTCCCACATCCAGCTAGATCATTTTATTTGTATTTATTAAATTTAACTTTAGTTTCTGATTAGCATGTGTTAGATGAGTATAGTAACGTATGTATTAGGAATATTAATGAGGCACAGCGTGGTGTTTCTGCATGCCGGGCGGGCAGTCTTGCTGGGTAATTAACATTTCCCTCTCTTAGCACTGCCTTTGTGTTTGCAGCCGTTAATGACTCTCGGCTAGAACTTCACACAGCGTGTGTAACGTCCTTTGTGCTGTCCCTTCATTCCCGGCAGGGACCTTGGGGAACTTGGCTCCATGCTGGATCGGGTCTGAGTCTTGAGCAGGAGGTTGTAGGATGTGGGGCAGAGTCCCTGACCCCATCCCCGTGCCCTGGTGGGCAAAGCTGGAGGGAGATGTGGCCAAGGTGGCTGCCAGGATAACTGTGCACAGCTCATGCACGTGTGCTGGGCTGTGTCTGAGTCCCTGACACTGGCGGGAGAGGCCTCTGGACATGTTGGGGGATCAAGGCTCTGATGGGAGCCTGGGTCCAGCACAGAGTCACACATAGGGGATAGGGGGTCAGTTCTCTCTGCCCTGCAGGGGGTGCATGGCTCAGGGCACTTGGCAGGCAGGGGCTTGTATGGCTGGGGGGCTGGGGACACACTTCTCCCTGTGACATGCCAGACACACACAGGCTGTGCCCCGTGGCCAGCCCTGAACTCCTGGGTCTGTGGGGCACAGGTTCGCTATTCTGAGACACAGAATCCTCTGCTTTAAAAGCCCCTTGTCTCATCCCAAGGACTTGATGGGATGCATGGTATCTTGAAAATAGCAGCCCTCTGCCCAGTGACCCCTGGCAGGGCTGAAAGTGGAGGCCGCAGGGCCTTTTCTCATCCGTACCATTCCCCAGCCCTGGAGACGATCTCCTCGTGTCGCAAGTGACAACGCCTATGTCAGATAGGGCCCTAACCCACTCTACCCACATAGTTAAGCTGCAGGTTCGCTGACTACCACAGTGGAAGCTAGTGAGAGGCATAAAGGGATTTATTAAGCAGGTATTTAAAGTGCGCACTCCAAGAAATAGGATTCGGGTTCTCAAGAGACAGAGGTGCATTATGATCTGGAGCTGGGAACGTTTAAGGTGTCTTGGGGTGTCTTCAAGATGCGTGATCTAGGAAACATGTTCTCAGTCTGCCCTGTTACCCAGGGACAGGGCCTGTTGGAATGCAAGCCAGCTGCATGTGTTCCAAGCTGAGGTCTGCTGCCCACAATTCTGCTGCTTCCTCCAGGATAATCACAATTTTCAGATGGAAAGAGGTGGTCTACGTGCAGGTGAAAAGGCCAATTTTCAGGGGAAAGGGAACTGCCCAGATTTATTGTGTCTTGGGAGAAGAGAGAAAACATTTTAAACTAGGCTTGTGTCCTGAAGCTGTAGGGTTTTGTAAAAGCACAATTTTAAAATCCCGAGTGCCCCTTGTCTCCTTTCTACCTATCCTTATTTCCTCTGTCCTACCTCAGGGCTGCTTGGAACTGACCAGCCTGGACCTGCTGAGTGCTCTGTGCCTCAGTGGCACTCATTTCTCCAGCATCCTCGTGGAGGAGGGGTTGTTTATATGGGGTCCCTCAGCCTTGATTATTCAGCGTCCATAGATGACTATGCTGGGTCCAGCCTGGCTTCCGTCAAGGTGGCCAGGTCTGACTGCCCACATTGTCCTGGGCTGGGAGTTCTCTGGCAGGGACTTGAAATAACAACTCGGCTTTTAAAGGAAATAGAAATTAGTTTATCCTGAGCCAAATCTGAGTGCCCATGGCCCAGGAATGTGGGTTCAGGTTCCTGAATGACAGACGTGTTCTGCCTGGGCAGGGTTACAGAAGCTTTACAACAGCCACAGAATAAAGAAGGTCATAAGTCATCAAGGTGTGGGGCACATGCCTGTATTCCCAGCACTATGGGAGACTGAGGCAGGAGGATCACAGGTTCAAGGCCAGTCTGGACAACTTTTAACAACTTAGTGAGTTCCTATCTCAAAATTAAAAAAAGAGCACTGGGGTATAGCTGTGTGCAAAGGCGCTGTGTTCAATCTCCAGAACTGTGAAAAAAAAGTCACAAATCAGCGCGTCTATCACGTGTCTTGCTAGGGACATCAGGTCGGTTATCTGCAGCATCTTTCTGATGGGTTTCCAAGGTGACCAGGCAGCGTTCTGGGATTTGGGGTCGATGGAGGCGTGAGGTCTGCTAATCCTAGCCATGCATTCTGAGAGGGCCACCTAATGACCTTTTCAGGATGGCCTTAGCACTCAAGGGACTGGGAGGGAAGGCAGGGACAGGGAGCAGACTCTTGAATGCCCTTGTGGCACTTACCATACTTCTAGAAGATTCTCTGCTCTACCCCAGGAAAACATACCCGAATTGTCAGCGAGCCAGAAGCTGATTCCTTTGGAACTGATAACACACCACCTGGGCCATCGACTCCTGAGGTTGAAGAATGAAATCGTGGACAAAAAGGAATCAGTAAACAGGAGTGCATATCGGAATTATAAGAAGAAAGAAAGCTTCTGGATGTCAGGAGGGGTCCTGGAAGTGGATTGCCAGGGAAGCACTTTCTCTAGGATCTTGGATGATAAGCAGAGCATGGGAATTGGCTCAGTGTCCAGTGTCAGTCAGCTATCATAGGTGGCCCTGTGGGATTAAAATAAGCAGTTGAGACTCAGGCTTTCTCATGCAGAGTTTAAAGAAAAGCCCGTTTTTTTGTGTCTTTGAATTCCTGCAAGCCGAGCTCCCAGCCCAGGTGCTGGGAGGGTGGCTAACTTCTCATGGGGTTTGTTCCACCTGAAGAGTTTCTTTCCTGGGAGTAAGAATCCTTAGCTGCCTGTGCTTACCTTAACTCTTACTGTTCTCCCCATATTTGTTTTTACATTTCTGAGATTAGCTACCATATTTCCCTTAAAATAAGACTGGGTCTTACATTAACTTTTGTTCTAAAAAATGTAGTAAGACTTATTTTCAGGGGATATTTTATTTTTTATGTACAACAGACTACATTTTTCATGCACCATACTCTATACTTTTTTCATATGTTCATGTACAAAATCTACATTTATTCAAATACAGCCATGTCATCTGGAATGTCATCATAAGGCAATGCCCTGTTCCTTGCTAGCTGCCTATCAGTATTTGTAAGCTAAACAGCTAAGTTGCCTCTTACAGACTTTGAATTTGCTGAAATGACCTCACCTCCCATCAAAACAAAGCTCAAACACTGGCCCTGGCTTGGTTTCCTATTGTATGTAAATGAAGGATCCGATAGAGTGCTTTTTGATTGGTTGTGCCCACATGCAAATGAAGGCTACTGAAAAGAGCATCTTCTGATTGGTCCTGCAAACAGCAGCCCCAGGATCAAATGAAGAATGGAAAGCAGCACTATTCTGATTGGTTCTCTGTTCAGGGATGATGGCTTCACCTCGGAGTGTCCTCCTTGGGAGCCTTACTTATCTTGAGTTTCTCTCCCTCTGGGGTGCCCCTCACCTTGTTGCCCTTAGTAGAACCCTCTCTGGCCTGGACTCTGCATGTCTGCTTCCATGTGGAGGGGTCCAAGCCCCTGGCAGCTACAGCCTGTGCCTGAGGGGTCCTGGGTCTCTGCTGCCCTGGTGGAGTCATGCTGCTCCCAGTGCAATGGGTCACGCTATTGTCACTCTTGCATCAGAATTTCTCCTATGGCGCCAATAAGCAGGAGGTACCATAGTCCATGCCAGGGGCTGTGGGTATGTGGGCCCCAGCCATCTGCTTACCTACTGTGTTTCTCTTTTGTCAAAGTCTCTATGGTGGTTGAAGCAGGTGGCCACTCTGCTGTCTCTGTGTTGCTACTCAGCCTGGGGTTCTTTGACTCAGTTCAGATGGAAATCATGAATCAGCAAAGCATAGCTCTGCTGGTAGTTCTGGCCCCGGGTAATGCTGGATCCCAACAGTTGACACAAACACTGCCACTGTCTGATGCCAGCTTGAACCGGGCACCACAGGGCCACCCTGCTGGGAGCTGGGTCTCTGCTGCCGGTCTCTGAGGGCTGCTGGTCTCTGCAGCTCTGTGCGGTCAGCAGCTCTGAGTGCCTGTTTTCTGCCGCACCTCTCAGGATAAGATCCTCCATAGACCCACAGGGCTTTTGGAACCCACACTCGGGAATAAATCCCGAGCAGGTTTACAGGACGTCACAGTGAGTCTTTGTGGTCGTGCTGCAGCACTGGAGCCCGCACACAGGGGGGAGCCCTCCTGGACTGCACCCTGGGAGCCTGGGTAGGCTGTGTGGGTAGCTGCTGCAGACCTGGTTAGTGAGACTAAGGGCCCAAGC